TCTAAGCAAACTTTTAATTTCATTGCAGAAATAAGTATATATAATGAATGAAAATTCTTCTAGAAAATAACAATTCTGACACAGTTCTCTTGTGATAAACAGAATTTTGAATAGAATTATTATTGTTGTTTTACGATAGTGTTACAAGAACTATGTTATTATGAACAAAATTTAAATATAGATAATCATAAATATATTTATAATGCAAAATTTTTAAATTTTGCGTATGAGAATGCTGTTATCCCTCATAAATATTTCTTAACCAAAAGTCTGATGAAAATAAAATACAATGTTTGATAAGAAGTTCCGTTTTATTAAGTAATTATATGGACATTTTTAGAGTAAAACTAACATATAAATTGCTTTTTTTATCGTTCAACGATTAAATATATGGTTGGCTGGAATAGTATGTAACAAAAAGCAACTACTCTCCAAAAAACTAAGTAAAAAATCTTTTTAGGTGGACTTTTTAGTTGCTTCGATGATTGTGGCATTTGTCTCTATGGTTATTGTTGCCCACCGTGTCTATATGGAGAAAATGCTGAGAAAATCGATGGAAGCAGTTGTTTTGGTTCAGGCTGTATATGGTGCCTGCTAGCAGAATGTAGCTTATGTTGTCTAGTACATATGGGCAAACGAAAAGCTTTACGTAATCGTTTTGGTCTTGAGGAAGATTGTAATGATTGTCTGGCAACAACATTTTGTGCTCCATGTGCAATTTGTCAAGAAGCACGTGAACTTAAATATCGTTCAGCTGTTCCTGGAGGTATATGAATATATAAAAACTTTATATATTGCTGAATATATCCTCTATGATTTTAGCATCAGCACCCGTTATAACACAGCCAATGGCCACAAATATGTATCCAGTATATGGACAACAAGAAAATATGCAACCAACACGTGAGCAACCCGGCATGATGAAACAAGGACCATATTAAATGAATATATTGAATGATTTCTTTTTTCGTTTGCTGATTATTTTATCTTTCCATAGTCTTTTTTAATCATGTCATATTCTAAGTTGTTCGAGAAACATTTTATTCTGCATCTTAATAAGAAACAAAAAAAATATAATTATACTCAGTTATTATATTGATTTAAATATCATATATTATATTTCAATTACGAACTCGAATTCTTTGATATATATATATCAAAATTCATAATCTGATCTAGTTACAATGTTTTCGTGAATTTTTTGTTACTTCCTCAATTCCTTACTTTTTTGATAATCGTCCATAACTTATTGTTAGGTATTACTCGAATTCTAACCATTTCAGTATGATTATTTCTTATTCTTCCAACCTAAGGTACAGCAATCATTTCTGAAATATTTACTTACAATTATCATATTAATTATCAATCTACAACTAATATTGTAGATGATACCTATAGATGTTGGTCTTTCCTAGCTTGTAAAGTATTCTGTTTGAGTTATTTTTAATATCATTTGCATTTCGTAAACAAATCATTAATTGAATGTTGTCTTGTTGCTTAATCATATTGAGACAATTTAGTCTCAAAATTACTTCAAACTGTTTTATTTGATCTTATTTGAAGTGCTTTTGCATTCAATGAATAGATAAGAGGAAAAATTTGTTGACTTATTATTGTTATTTTTGACAAATGAACATAATCTTTTTTTGAAAATAATTTTCGAAACAAAACATTGCAGATATTTATATAAACATATCAAGATCTAATACATTTTTCGATGATGTTGTTGATTATTTTAATTAAAGAATAACTTCTTGAAAAGAGTGTAATTCCAATATGCATTTTATTTCGATTATATAGTTTATTTTTTCATAGTCGATGTTTTTTTGTTGTTTCAAAGATCATGTATGAATCAAGTTTTTTTTAATTATGATATAACAAGTACCTCTATAAATAAAATGGTGGGTGTGGGTGTGTGGGTGTGTATGTGGGTGTGGATATGAGTGTCGGTATGAGAGATTGCCAAGATCATCATCCACATCAACAGACACGTAAATATCCACTCTGACACCTGCACCTACAGCGATACTCAAACTAACACCAACACTCATTTGAATACCCAAACCCACATCTATATCAAACCTACAACTATTCTGTAGCTAGTTATCATTATTTTTCTTTCGTAAGAAGCGTGTCATGCTTTTGCTGTGTCAAACATTGTTGGCTTGTCGTCATTCTCAAGGAGAAAGATATGAAATTTTATAATGATAAGAAAAAGATACACACATGATAACCAATGAAACAATAATGCAACAAAGATGATAAAGCAACCTATATAAGGAAGAAATTTTAGGGCATCTGCAACGGCCATTTATTCTTTCAGTTCTTGAATTCAAAGACTACACATAATCGAGTACAGAACTCAAAAACAGGTAAGAACTCACACGAGAAAGAGAATAAAGAAGTTCTCTTTCTCATTCAAAGTATGGCTAATCTTTCACATCATTAGTACTATGAGTTTTGATCCATCGCTCTTATCACACTACATTTAAGCTCAACAAGTGCTCGCTGTTCAGCTATACGAATTTGCAAAACGGTTAAGTTCGAAATAGATTCCGATGAATGTGAACGATGACAGTTTTTCTATTGAGCAACACATGTATGTAGTTCTCTTTCTGATAGCCTTTTAAAACTCATTTTGACTAAGAAAAACACGTACGCTTCGTTCTTCCATAGTACGTCTATAGTGAATTCATCTGTCGGTGATCAGTAAATTGGATTCGTAGATTCCTAGATGGAACAATAGTAAAAATATGTTTGCTTCTATTGATATACAAGAGGTAGAACTCAAGAATTTTGCTAATTCATTCAATTAGCTTAATACGTTTTCATGCTTTATTACATATCCTTATTTTTGCTTCCAAATCGGAATTCGGCTCAGAATTTTGTTTCTCGAGCAGAATAGTACTTCATTTCATATAACGATTATTATTAATTCAACATGAATTGACAACATGAAAGACAGTGTGAATAATGAAACAGGTAAGTTAAATCACCGATGCTCTTCTACCTGAAAAATGTCAACATTATTTAAATAATTATTTCGTTCTTCATGCCGAACATTAACAAATGCATAATATTAACATTCGTAAAAATACAAAAACCATAACGGTTAACTTCCGATGCGTGATAGTAAGCAAGAAATAATTGCAATAGATTTTTCTGACTTCTTAAATATATAAGATATAAATCTAGTAATACAATTGACTAAAAATATATTAGACAACTAACTTAAAATTAAAGAATAGCTTATATAGTACATGAATTATGAATATTTGTTTTTCATACGAAGAATACATTCATACAAAAATCGGTAAAGGAATTGTAAGCCAGGTTTCGATCACAGATATTCAAAAAAAAGCGATGAAATAGTTTCAAAAACTGTGAGTGTAGAACCAAATGAAACTCAATATTCAACTGAATTAAATCAACTTCGTCAACAATTTCATGAAATATCAGATTATATGAAAATTAGAAAAACTTAGTATCCTAGATGTATTTATTAAAACCTTCATAAAACTTTTTTTATATTAGAATTCTGTTCAACATTTATTTCTGTAGGAATAAATGTATATAATAAATGACACAATTCTGTTAGAAAATCATAAATTTTAACACTATGAATATATTGATGATCGTCATGAAAAATGAGATAATATTTTAAATAATGTTGATGATACTGATGCAGAAAAAAGAATACTAATTTGAATTATGTTCATCCTCTTTTTACCAAAATCCGCCGTAACTTAAATTATTTACTTGTTCCACTATTCATGCTATCTTTGATGTTGTCTGTTCATATTGAATTATTATTACTAATCGTTATATGTAATGAAGCATAAGTCTGTTGGAAAAACAAAACTCTAAGCAAACTTTTGATTTCATTGCAGAAATAAGTATATGTCATGAATGCAAATTCTCATAGAAAATAAGAATTGTGATACAGTTTTCTTATACTAAACAGTAATTCTGAATAGAATTATTATTGTTTTACTACAGTATTATAAGAACTGTGTTATAATGAACAAAATTTAAATATAGATAATCATAAATATAATCACAATGCAAAATTCTTAAATTTTGCGTATAAGAATTCTGTCAACTCTCATAAATATACAATAACCAAAAGTCTGGCTAAAATAAAATACAATATTTGATAAGAAGTTCAGTTGTATTAAGTAATTATATGGACATTTTTAGAGTAAAACGAACATATAAATTGCTTTTTTTATCGTTCAACGATTAAATATATGGCTGGTTGGAATAGTATGTAACAAAAAGCAACTACTCTCCGAAAAACTAAATAAAAAAAATCTTTTTAGGCGGACTTTTTGATTGTTTCAACGACTGTAACATTTGTCTGTATGGATATTGTTGTCCAGCGTGTCTATATGGAGAAAATGCTGAGAAAATCGATGGAAGTAGTTGTTGTGGTGCATGCTGTGTCTGGTACCTGCTAGCAGGACTTGGTTTATGTTGTCTAGTACATTCTGGCAAACGACAAACTTTACGTAGTCGTTTTGGTCTTCAAGAAGATTGTAATGATTGTGTAGCAACAACATTTTGTGCTCCATGTGCAATTTGTCAAGAAGCACGTGAACTTAAATATCGTTCAGTTGCTCCTGGAGGTATATGAATAAATAAAAACTATATATATGTTATGAAATAGATTTTTTATGATTATAGGACCGACATTAATTGTAACACAGCCAACAGGTATGGGTATGCCTTCACCATATGGACCACCAGTAAATATGCCACCACAATAGGAACAACCTGGAATGATGAAACAAGGACCATATTAAATGAATAAATTGAAAGACTTGTTTTTTTCATTTGCTAACTATGCTATCTTTTTATAATCTTGTTTGATCATTTCATAATCTAAATTGTTTGAAAAGTATTTGATTTTGTATGCTTTTAAGAAAAAGAATTATAATCAACGTCATTTCTACTGAAATAAATCATATTAGCATCTATACATGAACTTTCATTCATAGATACATATAAGAATTCATAGTGTAATTTAATACAGAATTCTGATGAATTTTTGGCTAGTTCTTCAATTCCTAACTTTTTTTTTTTGATAATCGTCCATAGTTTATTGTTAGGTATTACTCGAATTCTAAACATTTGAGTATGATTATTTCTTATTGTTCCAGCCTAAGGTACAACAATCATTTCTGAAATATTTACTTACAATTATCATATTAATTATCAATCTACAGCTAATATTGAAGATGATACCTATAGATGTTGATCTTTCCTACCTTGTAAAATATTCTTTTTTAGTTATTTTTAATATCATTTGCATTTCGTAAACAACTCATTAATTGAATGTTGTCTTGTTGCTTAATCATATTGAGACAATTTAGTCTCAAAACTACTTCAAACTGTTTTATTTGATCTTATTTGAAGTCCTTTTTCATTCAATGAATAGATAAGAGGAAAAATTTGTTGACTTATTATTGTTATTTTTGACAAATGAACATAATCTTTTTTTGAAAATAATTTTCAAAATAAAAATTGCAGATATTTATCTAAACACATCAAGATCTAATGCATTTTTCGATGATGTTGTTGATTATTTTAATTAAAGAATGACTTCTTGAAAAGAGTGTAGTTTCAATATGCATTTTATTTCGATTATATAGTTTATTTTTTCATAGTTGATGTTTGTTGGGTGTTTCAAAGATCATGTACGAATCAACTTTTTTTTTTTATTATGATATAACAAGTACTTCTATAAATAAAAGACTAGTTCTTGAGAGTTGTCGACGTATTGAACGTGTTATTTTGTTTCTCGACATAAAAATAAAAAATTTAAGAAAAGGATTCTGTCAAGCACTAAAGAATGAGGGTCCACAAAGAATTTTGGGTTGCCAAATGAGGAATTTTTTAATTCATGTTTGTCGAATATCTTCCTCGAAGGTCACGATATAGGGCTAGAAGATAAGTATAGTCTCTCCGCTACAGTCCTAATACAACATAGAATTTGAATGAGTCTGATCGGTTTTGAGAGAGAAACTACCTTGAACTATTTGAATAAAATAATTCAATATCAACGAATGTAACGATCAACAAATTATTATAAGAATAATTGAAATCATTCAATAAATCTTTTCGATTAAAAAGAATCATTGTGAAGATTGATGACATCAAATGTATCGCTTGTAACGAAATACTCAATATGGTCACATACGTGTCAACAGAAAATTTTCTTTCTAATGTTAATACACCTTTTCAATTACTCAACAAATATAAAAAATTCATCGACATTCATGTTCAAATTTAATAAAGCAAATCTATTAAATGAAGTTTCTCATTGTGATTTCACAAGTATAAATTTCATAAAATACAAGAAAACAATTATTGACTATTGTAAACAGTTGTCCCCCAAAAACAAAAGAAAAATCATACAACATATTTATGAAAGTTGCCTAAAAGTTGAGAATAGTATTAATCTAAATTAATTCATCGACATAAAATACAGTACAAGGTAAGTAGTTTATATGATAACATCGATTCAAATCTAGATATACGTGCAAAGTGTTTGTTTTTTTATTGTTTTTTCCTGGTTGATGTGCAATAAAGAATATATTTAAAATAAAGTCTAAAATATCACATTACAAAATTCTCACAAAAAAAAAAGGATCAGTGAAAAATGATATAAAATATATTTGCTGTGAAAAAAAAAATCATCTTACTAAATAATAATATAAGGTAGTCTTTTTTTATGAAGCAAAAAAAAAAGAAACAACATTTAAGAAGCCTATAAATCAATATTATGAATAAGTATAACACATTGATTGAACAAGTAAGATACTTTTCGGGTACACTTTTCTATTGAATAAATATTTGATTTCTTCTCAATCATATTCTTTACAAAATATAATGCCTTTGCAATTCAAGCATGTAGAATATTTTTCGTAGTCAATAAGAGTCAAAAAACAGTATTTTATCTTCACTCAGAAAATTTTAAAAACAGATATTTTAAAGTATTATTATGTAAGTTATAAAATAGAGCAAATTGTTACTAACTTCTTTCAGAGATTCAATAGAAAAAAAAAATATGTATATATACTACTGAAAAAACAGTTAATAAGCATCATAATTATTTTTGAAAGAGAACAAAACAAAATCGTTTCTTCTTTATGTATAAATATGCTTTGAACAGACTTCCTAGTGGGAACAAAATATAATGATTTATTGTATAAGATGTTTATTTCCTATTCGATTCTATTTTAAGTCAAGACATGTGGTGCTAAATGACTGAGTAGAGACAAAAAAACATCGATTCATAATTACAAGTCATGATGATCTCTTATTGTTCTTTGATCTTTATAGAAGTAAGTAAAGTATTCAATTGTAGTTCTTTCTCAAACACAATGAACAAATGATATTGATCATGTTGTTTTCTTTATGTGGGTTAGTCGTAGTAGAAATCATGAAGTATAATTCTATACTAAGAGATTAATGAGCAAATAAAAAGTCACTCTGCTTGATTAAAAGGTACTCTACTCTTTCCTGAGTTTCTTGACGACAGTTTCTAAGAAAAAATTGAAATTTTCAAGGTAGATAGTTCTTGACAAGTAGAGCAAAATTTGTTGTAGACTCAAAGTTTCTGGACGCTGTTTTCTATGATTACCATTGGTTCCAATTAACATATTCGCTACTACGAAATAGTATGTTCTATCGATTTGAAGATTTTTTTTTTTACAAACATTACATACTGTTTTCACTGGATACCTTTTTACTTGTTGTTCTTTGAATAAAAAAATCAAAATATCGAGAGATGCTCGAAAATACACGTGTTTTTGTAAGATCAATCAAAAGTTAGCTGAACATAATTTTTTTGAAACCAGAAAAAAAAACCATTAGAAACAGTGTATAGCGTATGTGAAAAAAGTTTCAGTTCGATCCAAGAAACCGGAACGTTTTTGAACTTTTTTTTTCATGAAAAAGTCAGCAGTTTTCGCTATTTTCATTACATACATTTGATTTCTTCCCTAATTTTTCAGTGTTCAAAGACGATTTGGATTCCACAATGTCCTCAGTAGTTAGATACTATTTCAAAATATGCAATGGTCACAAAAGAAAAAAATTTTCGGTGACATAAGGCGAAAGATCCTTTTAAAAAATAGAACAACTTATTATCCGTCTTTTATCTCTAGTAACATTACGGAATATATAAAAAAGCATTGAAAAATTCACAGTATACTTTACTTGTATCATATATTTTTTAGATTTTCTATCTCAAAATATAAATAATTAATATAAAATGCCAGGTACTAACGATTGGAACGGTAAGATATATTTGACATAGAAATGACCTTTTTATATATAAATTTTTTTTCTTCGAGATTTTTAGAATCTTTATGTGGTTGTTTAAATGATTGTGGTTCATGTTGTTATGGTTTTTTTTGTTTATCATGTTTATTTGGTTCAAATGCAAAGAAAATAAGTGGTCATAATTGTGTTATTATGTGTTGTTTATATTCAATTTTAACAAGTTGTTATTTATGTTGGTTACCACATTTATTTGAACGTCAATCATTACGTGAAAAATATAATTTAAGAGAAAATCCATCATGCGGAGATTGTCCAACAACATTATGTTGTGGTCCATGTGCACTTTGTCAAGAAGCACGAGAAATAAAATCACGAAGTATATTCTAACAAAATAATTAAGCTTGTAATATTCTTTTATATTGATTACTTTTAGAAAATATTGGTGCTGCCTATACAACAAGTGATCCAACCGTTGTTTCTCAACCAGTACCAGTTCAACGAGGTGTTTATCCTGATTCTCATCGAAATTACTAAGTTTGAATTAGAAATTTTCAAGAATAAACTTTTTTAAATTACTTTTAATCATATTTTATTTTATTCTGCTATTAATTTCATCTCATTTTTTTTAATATCTTGATGATTTCTTTTCATTTGTAAGGCAAGGTAAAATTTGTTTACTAAAATATTTAGTCAAATATTACTGGTGAAAAACTAACAAATATTTCAAAAAATAATCTTTCATATCGAAGCACAGAAAAAGAAGATTAGTTAGTTGTAAAATTTCTTTCTTATTTACTATTGCTGAAATAATATTGAAAATTACAACACCTATGTGCTTCATTTTTCATTTAATCATTTTAAAGAAAGAAAGATGATATTAAAAGGTTTTTGTTTTTTTGCATTTCTTATCGTATTAATAATAAAGCTCCACAAATGCGGTGATTTACATAGCTGGATTCAAACATACAGATTATATACAATTAAGTTCTTCACTATTAATTCGGTTCATATTGTTGCAAGATTCGTATTAAAAATAATAATAATCGATTTCATCTAGTGAAACTCAGCCTCTATCGATTTCTTACAGGTTGGATCTGATTGAATGGATATTTATTATAAGAATGCTGTACGTTGGATTAGGAAAACATGATATACGAAAATTAATATTCAGTATACTTGAAACCTATCGAATTACGAATATAGAACATTCTTCGATAACATTTTGTGTTGATTTAGAATAATAGAGCACTTCGAGTTTAACGAATAAGGTTGATTAACTTCGAACTCATTTATTTCTACTCGGCACTAAATTTGAGATTTTCTACTAAAAATCATTCAGTTTATCACGTATGAATTCCCTTTAAGACATTTATAAGGAAAGTCTTTCAACTGTTCAATCACTTTTGAGTCGAGACTCTTTGCCTTATGTAAATTCAAGTGAGCCCTGAATACCCTGGAAAGTGTTTGTGTTCTTAGTTTATTACTAAAGAACTACTGCACTTTTACGGTATGTTTTAAACAAATGCCGTAGTCCAAAAAACTATTTTTTGAATTTTGCCTTGAAACCTTGCATAAAGATATGCCTTAGCGAGAACATTTTATTGTGGCAGTTTCAAGTCTTTTGATTTGCTTCTATGTTAAAATAAGAACACCCAAGCTACTGGTTTACATAAATGATGTAAAAGACACACTTTTATTATAGTTGTATTGTAGAATAGAAAGAGTAACAAAATCTGAAGTGTTTACAGAAAAAAACCTATTCTCGTCAAGACCTATCAATATACAAAGATTCAAATCAAAATTCGAAAATCAGTTTCTCCAGACAACAACATTTATTTAACATATATATCGTAAAAGTGCAGTAGCTCCGTCGTAAATTCAAAGCTCATTTGGATCAACATAATGCACATTGTCTCGACACAAAAATAATCGAACAGTTGAAGGCTTTCTCTCGTTAGTTTACTGTATCTTTTTATCTATATAATTTATAGAACATTAGATAATAACAAATGTTTATTCAGAAACATAATTCAGTTACGATAACCTGAACAACTGCAAGCGAAACGATGATCAAAAATCTAATGTACAATCAAGTCTATTATAGAAAACAAAGAGCATGTATTATAAAGTTTCTCAAAAAAAAATCAATTTTCCTTAGAAAACTTGACATTGCAATGAATGCATCAAAAAAATAGCTTGAGATTTAATTTTTCATATACGGCATCTTAGTTTCTCTTGAATTCAAAGTTGATTTCCATCATTTTCTGTTTGAAACACATGCTGTTTTCAGATAGGAAATGGCAAATGTTATTTATTTTTTCTCGATCGCAAATCCGAAAATTGTCGAAGAAGTTTGCTTGTTGTCAATTATTAATTTTCTATCTAAAAGACTATATGAAGTTGCAGTATCCGTTTTTTTTTTTTTTGATATAAAAAGTACTTCTAAAAATAGATGATCATTTTTTTGTTTTTTGGAAAGCTTTTCAAAATATTGAATTTGACATCGATTTCCTTCGCATTAAAATCAAGAATTAAAAAAAGAAGTACTCTGTATTCTGAGATGTTCTTTTGAGTAAAAAAAACTTGAATTCTATTAAATAACAACTTAGAAAGAATTTCAAGTTGTCAAATGAGCTATTTTTGATTCTTATTTGTTGAATATCTTTCTCAAACATCATGACATAGGACTGAAAATTTTAGTACAATCTCTTTGCAATAGCCTCAAACAGTATTTCAAGAGAGATTTTATCTAATCATTAACATTCTATATCAAACCAACGAATAAAACTATAATTACATATGACGTCACTTTTGCATTGAAAAATATCAATTAGAACTTTGTTTTCAATTGCGAGAAAAAAAAATATCTCGATGATGTCATATACATATATCGATATAAATACACTTAGACATCTTTGTCTGATGAGACCGTTAGTAGTTTTTCATCTCCTTGTATGCATAGATATGAACGAAAGGATGACTACCCCAAAAAGAAAAAAAGTCGATGAAAAGATCAAAAGGTACATCTCTATTAACTTGACGATGACTATACGAACGAATAGGAAGCAGACAAAATCGTCTACGCGTATTTCGGCTAATAACCCGAAGGTAAACACTCATTTAGAGAAAAAAAATAGAGAATAGGGCGTATGTTCAATATTGACTATTATACACATACACACATATAATGTATATCTTTCGGTCATTTTTTCGCATTTTATTTGTCGTGAATCTTTAACGTTTAGAACTATGAGAATGAATCTTTTATATTGTTTTTAACGAGTATGTACGGAAGGACGACATGGTACAATGGTTAATGATTATTCTTGTTTATGATTTTGCTGTTCTTAAAGTTTGTTTAGAAAAAAAAAAATTACACATTTATTTTATATATATATAAAAAATAAATTTTATTATTTAAATTCTTATAGTTATCATTAAGTGAAGTAACATTATCATTACGTTTACTTCATTATAAAAATCCAAATGGTTTAACATATGAAAATCGTCCATGTGATACAAGACTTGAACATGATATCAATCGAGATGGTCGATGTGATACAGCATTTTTATTTTGTCTTGTACGTTTACCATTTCAAAATCCACATAATTGTACATTAGGTGATCATTATACGGGTGTTGTTGGTGCTAATGATATACATTTTATTGATCTTGATCAACAACAACAAGATAAATTAGATACACAACAACGATCATTATCACTTGTTTCAATTTGGTTTCAATCAACAATTTATTTTCGTTTTAATTATCCAAAAGTATATTATTTTGATATTGATTTATGATTATTTTCTTTTGTTTTTGTATTTTATTTAGACGGGTATTGGTATAATTGTAGAAGTATTTGATGTTGATGATATTAATAATCGTACAATACATGATTCAATTGATTTTTATGGAAGAACATTAGCTGATCTTAAAATTTATCGATCAGAAGAAACAGCACAAAAACAAAGAATTTATTTACGTAGTTTATTTGGTACTTATACAAATTTAACAGCAGATCTTTCGGTTTGAACATTTTTTTTTTTTTTCTTTAAAATATTCTTTTAATTGAATTTTTTTTAAGCTTTATTGTTCACCAAATTATTATGGAAATTTTTGTGAAATACTCTGTGTACCAAATGAACAACGTTATGATTGTGATTTGGATACTGGACAAAAAATTTGTAAACATGGATATTTTGGACAAGATTGTCTTAGTGGTAAAAATAGATAAGGAAAATTATAATGAAAAAAAAACCATTTCCGTTGTTACAGATGTTCGTGCTTGTGAAGATCAACCATGTTTAAATAATGGTACATGTGTAGTGTATCTTCGAAGTTATTTATGTCGATGTCAAAAAGGATATACAGGACGATCTTGTGAAATTGGTAAATATTCAATAAATTTGTATATAGTTAAATAAGAGTTCTGTTTTGATTAGGTCCAGCAGGAAGAATGACTGAAAAGAAGTGTAATCAAATGAATTGTGTTCATGGTGATTGTTCAAAAAATGGAAAATGTATTTGTCATGATGGTTGGACATCGGAAAATTGCAATCAAACTTCGATAATGAGTATATTTGTTAAGTTTATTAATTATTTTAAGAAATATTTCATTATAATATAAGTTAAACTTAAAAGAGACTTCCAGTAGCTGATCTCGAGTTTTGCGATTGGGAGTGATAATCGTCACGAAGCATGTTTTTTCAAGTCTATTAGAGGTAGTATCGGTTCTTTTTTTGCTGCTTTTTTGCTGAGACAAATTAGAAAAATATTTCAGATGGCCAGAGTGACCGCTTCCAGTGCTCCATCTAAATCTACCATTGAAGTTTTTCAATGATTCGTAGTCGAACAATAATGACCAAAAAAATTTTTAAAGAATTATGCCGAACAAAAATTCATTGTGAATAAAATGTATTATTGATCTATTCGTTTTCGCTGAGTTTTATAAATGATATTTCGTCTTTCCTAATTTGTATACAAACATTTAACATTATGTTGGATTCGTTCTGTAGATTCGTCTCATGACTATGGGTCTTAATAGTTTTGCTGCAAATCTCACTATTCATAAAATGAGTTTTTTTTTATATGCACCAGTTATTCTATCTGAAATTTTTACAATACTGATCAAATCAAATAAAGAACAATAAGTGACAGCTCGATTGTTCTTTAACATTCACATGGAATAAACTTCGTTGAGAATGTCTCTCTTAGCGCATCATAGAAGCCTCTACTCAGGGTGAGCATTATGACACTAGAATACGGTTTAAATTAAGATCTTCTACAATGTGTATACGCCTAATGTAAACGATCGTTCATCGTATTCATATAAGCTTCTCTTCAATAAAGAAGAGAGCAATTTTGTCTTGCTTTTTCCTCTTGTAAACACAAACAAAATAATTTATTTACTTAAATTAATACTAACTTTGAATCTAAGTCAAAAAATATTGTTTAAATAAATATTTACCAACGAACTTGATGTTGAGAAAAATCTGAATAAGCAGTTTGGGCCAGTTTTTTAATTAACACTGATCATTGGATTTTACACGTGATTCAAAAGTAAGTCTTGATCGAGATAAACATCGCATTTCGCGATAGTCGTTTAAGACACTCGTTCATGTTCATGATAAACATCAATCATATTTGAATGTATACAAGTGTTTACTATCTATGATTTATAGTAATTACTCTAGGTTAGATTTAATTTCTTTTCTTTTATATATATACTAATAGAAGAATCTGGTTGTGTAAGTCGTCCATGTCTACATAATTCAACATGTGAAACATTAATTGGTGTTAATCCACCATCAGCTTATCGTTGTCATTGTCGATCAGGTTATACTGGTCGTAATTGTGAAGTTGGTAAGATATGAAAAATTTTCATATATTATTTTATAAATTTCTTTTTTTTTTTGAAAAGCAATTGTTATTTCATGTGAACGAACACCATGTATTCATGGTCAATGTTTTAAAATTGATTTATATACAGAAATTTGTGTATGTGAAAAAAATTGGAGTGGAATTGATTGTTCTGAAATTGTATCAAGTAATAAAATAAATAATTATTTATTATTTTTTTCATAATTATTTCATTTTTTAAGCTTCATCAACAACTAAAAAATCTCATCCTATAACAACATTAACATCAGCAAAATTTATTCAAACAACAATAAAACCAATGAAAATAATTAAAAATAATACGAATATATCTTTAAAAAATGATCTACGTAATTATCTTGATTGGTTAAATACAAATTATGGTATAACAAAAACAACAAAAATATTTCAACAATCTCTTACAACACCATTAATATCTCATAAATATAGTATGAAATAAAATCAAATATTTTATTTTTAATAAAATATTTCTATTATTATAGAATATACACCATGTTTAAGTGCACCATGTCTTCATAATTCAACTTGTATTGTTAAATCTCAATATGGTTTTCAATGTATTTGTCTACCATCATTTATTGGAACTTATTGTGAAATTGGTAAGTAGATGAATTTTGTTTTTCTTTTTTCGTCTTCAAATCTTACTACATTATTACTCCAGAAGTTTTAAATATTACACAATTTCGTAAGTTTAGATTTAGAATAGATTATAAAAAAAAAACATGCATGTTAAATAAGATAATTTTATTAATCATAATATCATTATTGAAAATTTTCTTAAAGAACAAAATCCATGTGAAAGTTCACCATGTCAACATCAAAGTGTTTGCGTAACACAATCTAATCGAACAATTCATTGTATTTGTCGACCACATTACACTGGCAAATTTTGTGAATATCCAGGTATATTAATAAAATGATCGGAAATTTTTTCAATAAGATATTTGTTTACTTTTGGATCAATAGAAAGTATTTCTATAATCATTGAAATGGGAAGAAGGTACAGTTATAGCGTTTACTTAGTGAGACTAGAAGCACTTTTTTCAAGAGTTTCTTTCAATATAAAACGGTTGTTGATTTTTCAAAAATGAGCATTTACAAAAGACGAAAAAATCAAAGTATACTGTCGAAAGACAAAACAAGCTTCTTGTAGCATCGCTTCTAATATATAAATAAATGTATCAATTTTTAGTTTCGAATGATAATAATGAAAATATATAAAATTTTCTGAGTTTCTTAAAAATTATTTTACTACTTTCGAATAAAAATGAAGACAAAATACCTAGACTCATATTTGAAAAGAATATAAAATCATAGATTTGACTTCTCGGAAATACTTTTTAGTTAATTAAACTTGAACAAATATCGTGTTTGAAAAGTTTCCCGATAACCTATTGTTTTTCTTTTTTGTTTAATAATTAAAAATCTTTTAGTACCTTTTCCATTATTACCGTTCAATCAAAAATGTGCTCGAAATTGTCGTAATGGAGGTATTTGTTTGGTAAATAGAATAGAAAACATCAAAAAAACAACAAGAAAATAATTCTACAATGTTTTTTTTATTATTTAGATTGATGAATCTAATCGTGAACAATGTGTTTGTAAATCATCTTATACTGGATTATATTGTGAATTAAGTAAAAATGATTGTTCGACTAGTAATGGTAAGTTAATTTGATTCAATTACAATAACTATTTATTTAAAACTATCTTAGCAAACATTTCATCAACTTTCATATATTAATCCTAGGCGGATTATATTAACAGTTTTTCTCTTAATCTCTTTAAATGAATGTCATTGAAAGCAAATAGAATCATTTGATAAATGACACGTAAATATTGATTAAACGAATAGAACAAAAAATTTACTTTTGCCTTTTGTATCTTAAAATCAATTGTTTGTTATTTGAATAACACTATAATCTTCTCGACAAACTACATTTGTAAAGTACTTTTATTGAACATCATAAACTACATTTACAGTTAAAAATATATCTAAAATATATATTTTACGATTATTGTGTCTAGAAAAAAAAGAATTTGAAATTGAATTACCGAAGCTTCGAGCTCGATCACATTAGCCGATGAAAAGTTTTTGTAAGATACTAAGAATTATCTTTTACAATAAAATTGATTCTATTTAAAAAAAGGTCTAGATAGATTGACTTTTTGTAGATTTGACTTATTTAGCATGTTGGTAACAGTCTGGTTATCGTTTTTTTTCATGTCAATGTTGTAGTGATACTAAAATTAATTTCAATATTAATTTTGTATTAAAATTCCAACAAGTAATTTGAATCAAAATAAGATGAATACAGTGGAAACTTTCTATTATGAATAACTTAGAAAATATTTAAAAATGTACATTATTTGAAGATCTTTCCTTATTCTTACACAAATGTAATTCTATTTTTTATATGTAAGTCAGCAACATATCACATCATATTTTTTCATTTATAGAATCGTAAGTTTAACGCTGTTTCATGAGAACGTTCTAATCATGCTTTGGTTTGACACTTCACTCTCGAGATAGAGAGCGATTACACTTTTTATATACACAAAAGAACATGTAAAAATGGGAATAGAACAACAAAAAAAAGTGTTCTAGGTCACAAAAGAAACCGGGCGTTACCACATTGCTGTTTTTTTCCAGGGTTGTAAAAAGGTGACAATAGTAGAAGAAACGATGATTGCTTGATAGCGAAAAACTGATCCGTACAACGAGTTGATAGATTACGGCGAAAAGGCAGTGAACATACAATTCATTGCTTGCGACTGTCGATACAATCAGTGTATTTCGTTATATTTGACGAAAGTTTAAAAAAAAAAGAACATTTACTGTTTACTACTTAGAAATCCACAGTGTTCACTATTACAAGGCATTTACCCTGGAAAATTTTGCTCTAGATTAAACACTTATGAATTGAACAGTGTTAATATCTAGAGAAATAAATAAAAAACAAGATTCTTATTTTTTATTCAAGAAGATTTTCTATGAATCTAACAGACAATAAATATCATCACTTATAGTTTTAGGATAAAGAGAAAAACAACTCTTAATAAGTGTTAAATATGTAGAAGAAAAAAAAAAAATTGTTGAACATCAGATGAAATAAAGTCGATGACTGAGTAATGATAAATATGGAGATTTGTGTTGATGACCTCTCCAGAATTGTAATAGAGTTGATTATTTCTAAGTATCTTCAAAATACACTCTTAAATATTTATCGTATTCATTATTTCTAAATGTCATCCTTGAAATTAACTTAGTCGTATCTGATTGATTGCAATGTACTCAATTTTTTTGAGATAAAACCTTTAATGTCACAGACAAAACTTAGTACCCTATTTAAAGTTTTGATCTACAATGATTTTACATTGTAATAAAACAAAAATAAAATGAATGAAAAACTCTTGATATATTCGTTACCATTTGATATAATCAAGAGGAAATGAAATAGAGATAAACCTTTTGTAATTGTGATTTGATTCTATTGAATTCATAACTGATCAATATATACAGGAACTCTTGAATCTGATTATAGTAATGTCAAAATGTCAACTAACATAGCATCTAGAGACCAATCAAAGATTGTATCAGTAATAAAATATTTAAATGTTCATTCCGATTAATTGCATCTAACTCTTAAACTATTTATTTCTGATAGAAAGAACAAATGTGTAAACTATTGGAAAAAAAAGTAGAGCAATTTCAAAAATCGTACTTGTTCCCCTCTAGAATGCTAGTTTTGAGTAGACAAACGCAGTATAGTTTCTTTTTATACGATTAATATCGTAAAAGGAAAGATGAAGATATGGAAAAACTATTTTTAATAATACATTTACTGTAGGCACTATTTTTTTTTTCATAAACACCTGTTCGGTCACTAAGAAATAATATAATTAATGAAAGCATCTTATCGATGATGAATATTTATTTGACTTATAATGTGATAAGATCTACAAAAAATAATAATAATAATAATGATTTACGTCATTCCTCTAGTTACCTCCCGGTGATAGCTGTAGACCTCATTTATGATTTTGCTTGCCTTATCTGACAAGTCATTTGAATACTTATGAGATGCATTTGATGCCCTAGTAAATATATTTATCAATGTATATATCATGCAACACGTCTCCTGAGATGTATTTTATCTTCAAATAGAAAAGACTTCTGAGGAAAATTTTATTTTTCCAGGTTTTTCATGTTCTTTAGAGGCATGATCCGCAAACCAGAATATTAGTGTTTTTTTTAACCAACCAATAGCTCATAAAATTGTTTATAACTAATATAGATTTAGTTGTAGATCACATAAGTCTTTTTCTTTCCATAATGTTTCTTCCGATGCCTACATCAGTGAGCAAAAGATTAAGCGATTTAGAAGTGTATTCAAATGAAAGTAAAAAAAATCCTCTTATTTTCTAAACTGCAACTAATCGTTTAAGCAAAAGAATATTTGTCTTGCTCGAATTCACATAATATAAAAAACAAACAATTTCACGGATATGACTTTCGATTAGAGCCCATCAAGTCCAATATTTTCGGATTTAGACCCAGTTTATTCAACATTTCTAGAACCCCTCGGACCCGGTCGAATTGTACTAAAATACTCAATGAAATGTTCTAATATAGTTGCTTCGAACTATGAGATACTGTTTTTCAACTTCGGTGACTAGCACATCCTACACACTTCTCAGACGAATTTTAGTATTGTAAAAAAACACCTAATTAATAATGAATTTTATTAGATCCTTTATGTAATTTTGATCCATGCTTATCAAATCCATGTTTATCAAATGGTACATGTCATTCATTATTATCTACAAAAAATTATACATGTACATGTCTTGAACAATATACAGGTGAACGATGTGAATCAGAAATAAATTCTGATTCATCAATATCTCTATCACGTGATACTAATTTAAATTCAGATGAAAATAATACAGCTGATCTTTGGCCATTAGCTATTGTATTTGGTTATATATTTTCTTTAATGTTAGTTTTTATAATCATTTGGTTTTTATGGTAAATTTGTTTTGTTTTTGTTTTTTTTTTCCTCAAATATTTTTATTATATAAGGTATGGTTTAACAATACGACCACAATCCTATGTTCCATATGGAGAACGTGTTAGTGATCGTTATCAACCATATCGTTTAGGTGTTAGTAATCCACTTTTTTTTACAAATCAAGACTATAATACACCAATATCAAAAACATGGTCAACACCAGCAACAACAATATCAAATCTTGATCAATGGACACGAACAATAACTCGTTAAAATTATTTCAAAGAAAAAGAAAAGAATATAAACTAAAAAAAAAAAAAAAGAAGAAAACATCTAAGAATATTCTCTGCGCTTGTGTTTTTTTTTTTTTTTCTTTTTCATTTTGTTTTTTCTCATTAGTACTATGTACACATTAAATGGAAAAAAAACAGCAACAGTAAAATAGATGAGCAACAAAAGAAAAAAAAAAACGCGCATGATTATCATCACCAAAAATCGTCTTCTTCCGATTGTGGTTTATGATGATTATTATTATGATTATTGGAATGTTTGCCTGTTGAATCAACATCCGATGTTGAGCTTGTTTCGGCATACTCACGAATGATTTTTACCGGACCTTTACTTGTTGGTGGAGGTGTTGATGAACTAGTAGTTTCACTCTAAAAGACAAAAAAAAAAAAAGGAACGTTAAAACAGAAAAGAAAAAATTTCATTGACTTTTTCTTGTTCATGACGTTCTACAAGATCATCAATTGAAGATACAGGTGAACTTGATCGTATTGGATTTGTAACTAAAAAAGAAAATTTTGTTTGTTTAAAAATATATTTTTTTATATCATTAATACCAAAATTTGTTTGATTAGTATCACGATTAAAAGGTAATATTGTTTGTGTTCTTGTTGTATAAATATCAGCTACAAAAAATGAAATAAAGATTTGAAATAATTTTTGTATTTTTTTTTTGTACCAGATTGTTGTCGAGTTAATTTTCTATCATTATTACTAATAGGTGATGATGATGATGATGATGATTTTTGATTAATATCCATTACAATTGGTTTTTTTATATCAGGATGTTCAAGAATATTTGGTGCACTACCTAAACTATTTTCATTTGTATGCGATGGTTTTGTTGTTGTTGTCAATAAACGTCGATGAGCTTTATCATCATGTGTTGATGGTTTTATTGTTATTTCAGGATGTTCAAAGATGCGATCATTACTTTGTGAAATACTTTTCTGTCTATCATTTGTTTTATTTTTTGATGTTAACAAACTCCTTTAATTAATAAAAAGAAAAAGAAAATTTAATTTTTATACATTCAAATAATATGAAATGCCCATTTCAAAATATATTGATCTATTTCTTTTTTTTTCTATAGAATTCTTATCTCGTGAAAATTACTTTTCGAGAAGATTCACGACTTTGCTTTCTTTTTAATGTCAATAATTATAACTCTTAGAAAAGGATTTAAACAAATAAAAATAGAATAATTAATGTTTTTATACATGCAATTATTGAATTAATCTCAACGGAAACAAAATCAGATAAGTGGAAAATTATTGTTTTTTCTTTTACTTAACAAATCTTACTCAGGTAAATTAATTGATGGTTGATCCTTATTCCAATTAAATTTCTGCGTGTGTGAACTAATATCTTGCAATGATGATGAAGTTGGCATTGTATTTGTTGTTGTTCCCTGTGTTTGTCCACTTAATTTAACAGTTGGCATACGTCTTACTGATGAATAATCAATTTCTAAGATAGAATAAAAAAAAACATGTTAGACAAATAAAACACAGCTGTTACAATTTCGTTTTGTATGCTAAGAAATCTTAGTCATGTATAATATGAAAGAAAAAAAAAGAAAAAGAAATAGTTATCTCTATTGATTGTTGTCAAGATAAACTATTTCTTAAGAAGAAATCTCACTAGAATAATTATACTTAACGCTTTTTTTCAATGGAAAATAAAGGTACTGACACAGAAATTAGCTTTTATTCTGGGTCATATAAGAATGAAAGAGATTTTTAAGCAAAAAAAAAAAACATATACACACATCTGTTATACGTTCTCATTGTCAGGTGGCTAGAAAAAAAAATTTTTCTTAATGATAAGAATTTTCTTTTTTTGTTTACGTATGGTAGCAATACATCGAAGAATGATGCCTGCGCACATATCTACTCAATAATGAGAGTACAGAATGTCAAAGCAAATCGATGTTTTTGCATAGCATATTATTGATAAAAATACCAAGAATGTCGTATATCAGAACTTGTTTCTGTTCTATGGAAGTTAAATTATATACAGAAATAAGCTGTGCCTAACATAATAAGACGATTGACATGTTTATACGTACTGTTCCGTACTACTCGTGTATATATCTCTTGAGACAAGGAAAAAAAAAGAAAAAAGGAAATTTAAAAGATCAAGTTAGACTTGTTTCTTGCATTGAATATTTATCGTTGATCTTTTATTTTCAAATACTTCTATGAAGATAGTTCTTTTTCTCTAAGTTTTAGAGAAGAAAAACAACAAAAAACAACAAAGAATAATAGTAATAGTAATCGTCTTCGATTCAGCATCGTAGAAAGATAAAATGCCTGTTGATAAGAATGTGCGCATGAACATCGAATAATGACATAAGAGAAAAAAAAAAAAGAGTTTTCTTTAGATATAAATAGGAATCAAGCAATCCTCTTTGATTCAGCTTGTTTAAAGAGAGAAAGAGAAAGAGAAAGAAAGAAAAATCCTCTATTAAACCTACACGGAAACAACTTCAGAACGGCAGAATGACTTTATGCACCTCCTTTTTGTTCTTGCTTTATTAACACACACACACAAAAAAAAAAACTTACATATTTACAAAGAGTTTTATCGGAAAAATCTATTGATTATCTTTAAATTAACAAATATGATAAACAAATTCATAAAAAAAACTAAAGAAAAAAAAAAAAAACTAATAATATCTATTCTAATATTCTATAAATAAAATATATTAATCGTATTCTCTTCTAGAATAAGAATGATGATGACTAGAAACAAGTAGTTTGTGAAGTCTTGCAATCGATCTACTTTAGCAGATCAGTAACATTTTTGCTTATTTTCCTATCACCCAATCACTGTGTATTTGTGACGAGAACGATTACTCTTATTTTTATTTGTTTCTATGTTGACTCGTTCGTTGGTGCTTGTCATTCTTCTTTTCTTCTCTCTCTCTTTCTTTTCTGCTCGGCAAGCCCGCAAACAAGTAGGATGACCAAAAGTAAAAAAAAAAAAAAAAAGATTTACGCTTCTTCCGTCTTTAACTCGATCAAATGAGAAAATGATAGAAGCAACAAAAAAAGAAAAACCATTTCTAACAATAATGAGATAGTTTTCTATTAACAATACTTTTTAAATCATAAATGGAAAGTAAGACACAACATTTTACATAGGAAAAAAAAAACCACACACATACATATATTTTGTAAATGAATGTTAAATAAACCATCATTTTCCTATTGTTTTCTTTTTGCTATAATAAAGATCTAGTAGCATGAAAAAACAGAACGATCATCCGAGACATCTATTCACTTTGACAATCAAAATAAACTAGTCTGTATATATATATATGAAATAGCAATGAATCTATTCTTCTACACATTAGACGTTGTTTTTAGCTATATAGAAAAAGAAAAAAGAAAACGACGAGAAGATTTTTCGAAGCCTTTTAGTATATCTTAAGGCTAAATCTCTCTATCTATGTAGATAGTTGATACTTATATTCGATTGGATCTCTGTGGGAATGACAAATTTTTATATCTGCTAAAAGACAAGACATAGAGAAGATGTTTATAATGAAACTATTTGTAAATATATATTAACAATTTAGAATTATAAATATGATTTGTGTTTCTATTTCTTGTTTTTATTTTTTTTTCTCTTTAGACTAATTAGAAAGCCTTGATCACTACTAGTATATAGTAGGCTTGTCTGAGACGACTTCCTGGCATCAACGGAAGCATGCTGGAAATTTTAATTGAATTAATCAGACAAAGAGATTCTTCGTTCACGTCAGTCTTATGCAGGAAATCGGACATCAAATGAGGTTAGTTTGATATAAATATATCTAGTAGTCAATGTTCTTGTAAAAAACTTACTTGAATTTGAAAGAAGCATTAAATGCTTGAATATATATATATATATATATTAATTTATAAAAGTTGCTTATTTAATAGATAGCAAAAGATGCATATGCCAATGCACGATTTAGGAAAACGATCGAAAGAATATGAAAAAAAAGAGAAGAATGATAGACTTCTCTATTTTCTTTTCTTCTCTTATTCATCAATAGAAAAGAAAAATCAAGAAAGAAAGAAAAAAAGCGATGTGTATCTATGTGGGTTGTTTTTAAAAAAGACACATAAAAGAATGAAATGTAGATCTTAAAACATCAACAATAAAAGTAAAGGCCAATAAAAAAAGTACATATTGTGTTCCTACTCTAATTTCAAGTACTGATTATTACGTTTTTTTTTTTTTTATAGCAACAAACTTATTTGACCAACAATTTGAAAGCAAAGTACGATTTTATATCGAAACCCATACATGTAATGCGTGTTAGTATGAATGAAGTCAATAAACGCCCATTTAGCTTAGACACTATGTAAACACATACATGCAACTAATAAATACACTATGACATGCAATGTATTGACGATGATATGATAAAATAATAGAAAAACAAGGACAATAATAATGGAATAGATAGACAAATTGCATCAATTACTCGTTTATTATCAATATAAAGTATAAAAAATTTTTTATTGAAATTATAACTAATAAATAAAATGTAAAACGATAAAATAGATGACCGTGTCTAATTAGCAGAACTAACACGACTGTCAGTCACACAATTTTTCTTACTTCTATCTTTCTCGGATTTTTGTTTTTCATAATATTTTCTATAAAACTCGTAAATATCTTTTGGAATCTTTTTTTTTCTTTTTCTTTTTCTTCTTTCTTTCATGAATAAAAATGAACGCAAAATAAGAGCTCTTCTGTTTTTGAAACATCTTCAATAGCTTAGTGAATACCTGTAGGTTGTAAATTACTTGTATATGACGTCTTATTCATAATACGATGTTGATAGTCACGATAATTTTCTTCAACTCTCTATAAAGAAAGAAAATAAAAGAAAAAAATAAAATAAAATCCAAAATTCTAAACACAAACATCAGCTTCTCGATCAAGTTCAAGCATTCGTAATTTTGCATCTTCAATAAATTGATTATAATTTGATGATGTTGAATATCGACTTTGATTTAATTGAACATCACTTGTTGATTTAATTACACGCGATAAATAATCACCACCATGATTGCTTGGAAAACGACCATTAAAGCTTTACACACAAAAAAAAAAGAAAACAACAAAGAATTATAAAATATCTTTCTTTTATTTTTTTTTTCGTTTAAGAAAAAACAACAACATTATTTATTTACTAAGGTTCTGGTTCGTTTGATGATTGTAATAAAGCAATTTGTGTTTTTAAATCAATTAATTCATTGTTAACAACTTTTTGACCAACTTCTTGATTATCAAGAACATTTTTTAATTCACGAATAATTCCTCGCTAGGAAAAAAAAAGAAGAAGAATCTAGAGAAATTTTCTTAAGAATTTTTTTTTTGTTTGTCTTACGGAATTTGTAGATCGTTCACGAGGTGATGAACTACTACTATCATGATGATGTCGATCTTGAAAAATAAACAAAAATTAAGAAAAAAAAAAAAAAGAAATATTATGTAAGAATTTTAACGTACGAGAACGTTGTGATCGACTATAAAAAGATAGAATTAATAATTTAAAAAGAAGATTGAATTATCTTTACCTTGTTGTATTATTCATTTGAGATTTTAAAACAGCATTTTCTTCTCGAATTGCTTGATAATCAACTACCTGAATAAATAATCAGATAAAAATAAAAATATTATTTAAAATTATTTTTTTTTTACTTGTTTAGCTTTTTCACGTAAAATTTCATTTTCATTTTGAAGAATTTTTATTTCACTTTGTAAACGATGAATTGTTGACTAAAAATAAATATAAATAATACATGAATATCGGATGTTCGTTTCTTAATTTTTGTTTATTTACATCAGCTTCAGAATAGTGTTTTCGTAATGATGCTACTTCAGTTTTAGTTTGTTCAGCTAAGAGACGTTCTTCACTTAGTCGTCTTGCTTCTTCTATAAATAGAAGAGAACAAAAAATAAAAATAAAACATTATTTTTTTTTTGAAAAATTTATTTAAAAATAAAAAATTTTACCTTGATTTCTCATTTCAATTAATTGTAAATTTTTATTTCGTTCTGTAAATTGTTGTTCCATTTCAAATCTTAATCTATTTATTAAAAAACAAATATTTTATAGAAAAATAAATTATAATTTAAATTCATATCTTCTACTTGTTTAATTTCATTTGTACTTGTTCATCAACATGCAATTCTGTATTTGATAATGTTACTTCGCGTTTACGAATATCATCTTCAAGACGTTTTAAACGATCAGTTTCTAATGTCAACGATCTTAAGAAATAAAAGACTTTTATTTTATAATTTAACAATGCAATCATCTAAAACAAGTTCCAAAATTTCATTTTGATCATTTTTAAGACTTTTAACTATATTTTTCTCAAACAATGTTTTTTGCAATTATTTCTACTGGTTTTTCTATTGAAAAAAAACAAACAAACATAATTTTGATCTATAATCTTTTTATATTCAATAAAAGTTAATAATGAGTTCATTATAAAGATACTATTTTTTCCTGTCTATAAATAGGCCTTCGTTTTTAACTAGCATCATTTCAAAAAATAGTAATTATCACCAACATAAATAGAATCATTCATTCGAATAATAACTCAATTTAATTTATTATTTATTGTTCACTCTATATTAGTTTTAATGCAGTAGACATAATTCATTTATATTTATTCTATTAGAGTTAGAAAAACGAATACTGAACAGAACAACTACGATATTCATAAATATTTTAATAAGCTCATTAACTGAATTTTTCTGAACATTGAGAAAAACAAGCTTCAAAAAAAAAATAAATAAAGGGATATGCGCTAATATTCATGTGGGTGTATATAATGTCACTTAGACAGGAACGTGTTCAAAAGAATAGTACTTTTCATTTATAAGGCTTAATGATTATTAACAAAGAAATAATACAAAGTAGATTAGTTTTTTTTTTTCTTCACAGTTCAAGATTTGTAGAATTTCAACAACACTTCAAAATTAAGTTCACTCCTAATGAATTTGTACTTATAGGTTATTTTTTTTCAAGAGAAATACATGAATTTTTACTATTGGACAAGATGATTCAATTGAAACTTTCAGGATATTATTAAGATTATGAGTAGTTAAGAATTATTTTTTTTTTTTTTGATGAAAGTTATGAAAATTTATGTAAATATTCATAAATTCAAATCTATATAGAATTATTTCATTCGAAAGATTTAGTTTACATGATCAAATTTACTTCGAGCAATTTCTATGCAAAATCTCTAATGGAATATTTCTCAATTATGGCGTGTATTTTTTTTTTATTGCGTTTATGTTTCTGTTTACTTCCTTACATAAAGCAGATGTGATGGTTTATTAATAATATTAGAGTATTGAATTGCTTAGAGCATTAGCTAAGAAATTACTTGTGAATCGATTTATCATACCGAACAAACAGAAAAAAAAATGTATTTTTTGTTTTTTTTCAAAATAGATATTTTATTATGTAGATTGTTGATTAAAATCTAATATTACCGCTCTCGTAATTCAAGATTTCTTTGATTTTCTGTTTCTCGAATTTTCATTGTTTTTAATTCTTCAAGAAATGTTTGTCGTTGACCATATAATTCTCGTCTTTCATTCTATTGAAAATTAAAAAAAAAAAAAAGAATTTTTTTTGAATTTACAAATCAAAAATAAAAATAAACTTCAAGTTCAGCTTTAAATCGATCTCCAATACGCATTTCTTTTTCATTTAAAGTATCTTGTTTCGATTGATAAAGTGTTTCAAGCTAAAAATATAGAATTAAATAACATTTATGAATAAATTCAATATGACTAACTTCTTTTCGAAGTGTTTGTAATTCCATTTGACATTTCAAACGTTCTTCATCACGAATTTTTTTTATTTCATTTTCACGAAATTGATCCATCTAAATAAATATTTCTTTTGTTTCATAAAACTTTTTGATACGATTGAGATTTCACCTATATTTCGGTAATAAATTTTGTTCATATTCGAATCCGAACTCGATGGATTCTAGTTATTATTGAACGATCTAAGTAATTCTTTAATATGTTACACCTCTTTGAGTATCTCATACCAAATTTTAGCGTTCTAGCTAATGCCATTTTCTGTTTTATGAGGTTCTTACTGTGAAAAACTTATCATTTTTTTAGAAAGATGTGTCAAATGAAGGAAATTTTCTAACGAGAGAACTAACTAAAATAATACTAACAATTTCAGCTCATATTGGGTTCACAAAACAAGTCTCGATAATATTAGAAACGTGTATGTGGGTCTCCGAAGCCGAGTTATGACAGTTTTATTGAATAATTTCATCCATTTTTCGATATTTACCAAAAAAAAATCAACTAACTATATTTCATTGCCGACATCTGAGAATATTCTAAAAGTTTTCGCTAAAAAGAATTTTCAAGTATATCCGATTATCTTGATAAAGGAAAATTCTTTTTTCTTGAAACTTTCAGAATATTCTACTCATCATTCGACCTATTTTTGAAAGCTGAATCGAAAACTCAGTGAAATGATCATAACTGAATGCCAGAGGCCCATCTGGACAAACTCATAAAATTGTTCTAGTCTTACTAAGACATCCTTGTGAATACAATATGAGCTCAAACAACGAGTATCAATTCGAGTAGTGATCTCGTAAGAATTAAATAAAAAAAAAGATAATGAATAGTCTATTTTGTATAGACTGAGATGTTCTATTGAATTATATACCGTTTGTATTTCTGTTACTATTTTTTAGAAGTAAGGCGTATTTTGACTAATATACAGTACAATCTTAGAAGACTTATAGTATAATAGACAGTGCGGCTCAAAAATTGTTTGAAGTCTTACTTTCAGTTTTTCGTGTAAATCATTCATATAAATACAAAGAATTATTTTACCTGTTGTTTAAGATTTTCTTTCGTTCTTAATTCAATATTTTTTTGAAATAATAATAATTTTTCTTCAGTTGATAAATTATGTGTTGATGTTAAATCATCATGACGATTCATATACATAGCATCAAGATTATTCAATTTTTCATCTAAATAAAAAAAGTAAATTAAATTAATTTCAAAAATTTAATTTATTAGAATAATTTTTTTTTTCAAAATAACACGCATTTTTTTTTTTGTTTTTTATTATTTATTTCGAGCTTTTATAAAATATAGTCACGTATGATTTAACAGAATGTTTGGCATTCTTCTATACTCAACACGTACGATAACATATTATTTTCTTTAGAAATAATTCACACGCATAGTAATTCTGATAATAATAAAATAAAGAACTATGGAACATTTGAAATTATCCTACACGACTGTAATTTCTTAATTCATTTCTGCTCTTTATCAATTGAAATTAATATTTACTGTACGAAAGTCTTTTGATACATTAATTCAATTGATGTTTTTGTTTCTTAAGTTTTTGACGTGATCGATTTAGAATCATTTCCAAACGTTAGAAAATCTTGTCATGCATCGAATGAAATTTGACTGAGTCTCACGAAGATAGAATATAATTCAAGTACTGATCATCTATTAGAGAATCGATCAGTTAACATGCAATACACAGATATCAAATTTTTGTTTTTTTTTCTACGCTGTAATCGATTTCTCAATCAAGAAATAATGTCTGAGACCGAACTTAAAATAGAAAGAATTCTTATTTTGACTTTCGATCACTAAAATTCTCAAATAAAATAACTGAAAATGACTAAAATTATAAAGACAAGAGAATATTCTAAAAACTTTTATTTATTATTTTTAGGACGCATACGTTACAGAAAAATATACAAAATAGAGATGAGAGTACAGGACAAGGTTTTCTATTCTATCATGTGCTTGGTGTTAGTCTGAACTACAAATTTCCTAGCAGATATATTTTTCTAGAACGATCTTTACCAGAAGATTGAGTCCAACGTCAAATAGCTTCTCACAACTTTACTATCGACAAACAGCATTTTCTTTTTTGAATCAGAAGGGAAATGAATATACACATTCAATGCTAATTTTTGTAGCGTAAAGAGTACTCTTTTTAATGGTGTATCGGAAGTTATATTTACTCTTGGTTTTTAAAATAAAATATAGCTTTTTCTAAAAAAAAAAAATGGTTGAGTAAAGTGATCGTTGATATTACCTGACTGTTTTGCAACGGTGAAAAGAACGCTTTTTCTTTTTTAAATTATTTTTTTTCTGGGAAATTTTTATAAGTTGAAAAATGTCGAATAAATAATGTAAAAGTTAGTGCATCATTTTTGGAGATGATTGCTGAGACTGTTGCAAATCAGTATTTCTTGTAGAAGGTTATACTTTACAAAAATTTTATTTATTTGAAACTTTTTTGATTGAAGAATCACGAACAGATCGAAGAAATTCATAAATAGTTTAATTGCTTCTCAATAAAATCTGTAAAATCTTGATCTGGAACAAATTCTAAAAGTTCTGCTATAGTATTTCTCATGATAATTAAATGTATATATATTATGATAAAGAAAAAAATTTGCTCGTTTTTTTTTCTATTTTACTAAAAAAAATTCGATTAAATTTTTTTTTAATATTTATAGACTATACTCTTAAATCTTAATCCGATTTTAATCAATAGAAAATTGTAATTTTATAATTGAAAAATTCTAGTGAAAACAAGAAATAATTTTCAATATTTTCTGAGTTAACTTAAGCGTATGTTATTAAAAAAGAAATTATTTCCACATTTTCTTTGCTTGTTTTTTTTTTTTTATATATCGTGACTAGTTGACCCAGCATCAATCGGATATTCTAATCGAAAGAAGAAGTCTTTTAATTATTTCCTGCTTTTCTCTATTAAGAAGTGTACTTCTTAACTGAATATCAAACAATAAACATTTGATTATTATTTTCAAAAATAAAAAAAGAAGAGAATTAGAAACTAACCAAGAGTTGATCCAGCAATAGAACCTGCCCATAGATCATTTGAGGTTTGTGTACTATTATTTTGAGATGAACCTGGTAGCCATGATGAAATACATGTAAGCATGGACATTAATAAACTTGTATGATCATTTATTTCACTATTTGATTTCTAAATAAATAAATAATTAATAAATCTAACGAGAGAACATCTTTCGATGTCAAATAAATTTTTGATTAAGATGATATTCATTGAATGAATGATAGAAAAGTCTAGAATGGTTTTGATTTTCCGAATGTTTATTTTTGAAATATCAAAATTTGACTGAGTTTTTCAAGAAAATGCTGTGATTTTCTAATCAATTTTAGCCTTTGTATTCAATAAGATTAGTTCATTGGACGAGTTATAAATTTTATTAGTATCTCCTATCTCGAGATATTCAATATATCAAAAATAGCATTGTTTATTTTTTCGTTTTTGTTTTCATGATTGTTACTAAGAGTTTAAAACAAAAAGGTTAAAGTTGTTTAATTAGTTTTCTGGTAGTATTTTGAACACTCTTTCCACTCATAGAGTCATTTCAAATTCAACTATCTTAGTTTCATCAGAAAAAAAAGGAATTCCTGTTTGTAGTTCTACAAAAAAAAAAGTTTGAAGTGCTCGACCCCTTTTGACTCCATTATAAAGCTGATGAACATTCTAAATCAAATTTTTTTTCAATCAAAGAACTATAGGCTATTGAATGTTACTACTTCTTTCTCTTATTAAATAATTTATGTTTTATTAATATTCATTAGAATATGATTCGTAATTGATTCTATTCTCTAGTCGAACTATAAATTGAAAATCTGAATATATTATTATTATGGTCTGTATTGGGGAACACTAAATCGATGTGAGTATAGAAGACTCATAGTCAAACCATTTTAAACATTTCTATAATTCATCAAATGAACATCATCTCAGTTGCAAAACGATCTGACATCTGAGGAAGTTTCTTCTCAAAAAAAAAACTTATTTTGAAATATATTCTTACAATTTTCTTATAAAAACTTGATTCTGTTGAAATATTAAGTAAACGAAGAATTTCTTCATCGGACATAATCTTAAAAAAAAAATAAGAATTTATTTTTCTTATATAATCATTATCATTTTCAATATACTCTATAATCATTAATATTTGCTTCAGGTACAAAAACACTTGTTGTATAATCATAATGTTGTCCTTGAAAATAATCAAGAATTAATGCATTAAGTGCACGAACAAGAAGTGTAGGTTGTGTTGTTGAAGATGAAAATCGAATTTGATTATCAACACCACCACGTAACTCATGAATTAAACGACCACGTAAATGTGTCTATAAATATTATATCAAATAAAATTAGATAATAATCAAATGTGTGTCGACCAGAAAAAAAAAGAAAAGAAATTTTATTTTATTTACTTTAACATTATCAACAATGCCTTTTGATTTCATTAAATCAAATAATTTAATTCGAAGATCTCTTCCATTAAGACCATTTTGTCCATTAGTCGTCATTTTTTTTTTTACAAAAAAAAAATCTTGAAAATGAAAAATGAGTCAAACTATATTGTTCAAAACCACAACTACCATATTTCATTCGTTTCCTATCACAATACCTCTATCCATCAAAAATCTTGTATATTTTTCTTTCTTTTTATTGGTTCTATTTCAACCAGTAAAGACATCGTTGACACGAAAGAATAATAAGATCCAGCTGACAATCCAGTTATGACACGGCGACCTACGTATTTTGTATAATAACTGTTGACATTTATAATATCGTACGATGGTATAATTATTTTTTTTGCACTTAAATATTCCGTAGAAAATAAAGAAAACGAGAAGAATACAAGATAATAGATAACGCATGAGATTTATCTTTTCTGTTTACGGTATTTGTGATCGATTTATATCAGGTATATATGTAAATTCAACATGTTTGAATAAAATAATTTAACTCTTTTATAACGTTTGTATCTGAATGTTTTTTTATTCTTATTTTTTTTTTTGTTATTTATCTATATAATGCTTTTGTACTATCTGTTTATTTTTTGTAGCTGTTGTATCTGCAAAAATAAAACGAACAATGATTTCATCAAGAATTCCATTACATCGTGTTAAAGGTACACATTATGATTGTGGATATGCTTTAGGAAAGTTATCACATGAAGCAATTCGTCAACGTATTGCTGATGATCATACATTATTAGCATTATTTGCTTTTGCACAAACTGATTATGGTCAAAAATTACATCAAAATTTCATTGAAAGAATATGTTCATTATGTCCATGGTATTGGGATGAAATTCGTGGTTTAGCTGATGGTTCTGAAATATCTTTTGAACAAATACTTGTTCTAAATTTTTTAAATGAAACTCGAACAGCTCATCGTTTATTTGAAGAAAAAAAAAAATTTATAGAAAAAAATCAACAATTACAAAATGAAACCGGTGAAAAAGGTTGTACAACTGTATTAATTAATAGAAAGGATACAAATACATTATCATTATTACATAATGAAGATCATGCACCAGCATTATATATGACAAGTTATCTTGTTGAAGCTGATATTCAATCAAGTAAATATGATAATGGTAAACGTGAAAGTCCACATGAAAAATTTATAGCTCATTGTTATGCTGGTTCTATTCCAGGTAAATGAATAATGTTGATTTTTATCTTCTATTAGTAAATATTTATTGAATATTATTTTTTATTAAGGAAATGCATTTGGCGTAAATAAACATGGTTTTGCATATTCATTAAATGGTCTTTATCCAAATTTTATTGGAGAAGGTCGTTTACCACGACAAATAGTTAATAGAGCATTACTTTCAATTCAAAATGAAGATGAATTAGATAAATTACTTTATTCATTACCTGTAGCATATGGTTTTTGTGTTAATGGAGGTTTTATTCATCAATCAAATTATTTAGTTAATTATGAAATTGGTCCTAATATAAATATTGATAATGAAAATTATATTAGTAAATGTCTTATAATAAATAATAAAGAAAATCTTAAAAATACAAATACATATATAACAGTATTAAATTATCTTCTTCATTATAATCATTATGAACGTTTAGATAATGTTATACCTCAACAAAAAGCACTTGAATCATCATATACTCGTGGAAAACGTGGTAAAGAACTTGGTGAAATGTTTACTATTAATGATGCTATACGTTTATTAGGTGATGATGAAAATGAAAAATTTCCTATATTTCGTCTACAAAGTGAAGAAACAGATACGACTGCTGTAACACTTTGTACGATACATATTAATTTTCTAACATTAGAACTTACTCTTTATGAAAATAATCCAAAGAAAGATAATCAACCAACATTGATTTATAATTTAACTCAAATATTGGCTTAAAAACAAATATCAAATTTTTTTTTTCTCGCACCTATAGACATAGTCATTAATATTTTTTTTTTTTTCATTGTTTGTTTGGTAATAAAAGAAAAGTGTATTTTCCGGTATTTATGTGACATCTAATAAAAAAACAAAAGAATATGAATAATAAACGTTTTTTATCTTGATTTATGAATGTACTTTGAAATTTACAGAGCAAGTAAACGTTCATAAGTACAACAAAAAAAAAAAAGTTTGCACATCAGATGTTAGCGTCTATGGAGATACTAGGATTCTATTCACGACTAATGTCATTGTCTTGTTTCTTCGAGACGCTATGTTCGATCAAGCTGAATTTTTTTTTACAGGCATTTGACACTGTTTGGAGTGAGTATCATTTTATTTTTTTCTTCTTCGAATAAAACAAAAACCAAAATATTAAAGGTAATCGAAAAAAAAAATCAGCTAAATAATATTTTTTTTTTTTATTAAAACAAAAAAACAATATTTACCTACCCTAAAGGGTATATAGCATATAGAAAAAAAGTTTCAAATTGATCGGACGTATTAGGTCGGAGAAACGGAAGTGTTTGTGCGCTTTTTTTGTTTTTCTTATGAAAACAACATAACAGCTTTCGCTATTTCAATTATATAAATTTGATTTCTACTCGAATCTTTGAATCCGAAGATGCACTCAGGAAATTTAGTAACAACAAGAAGAAGATGCTCCTATAGACTTTTGTATAAATCTGAAATCAGATAACAAGGCAAATGTCTTGAAATATCTATGCTAAAAATGATAATAGAAGATAAGATATGAATTTATTGCTTATTATCATGAAAGGGTAAGTTTTTATTTACAAAAAAAAATTCAACTGAAATGGCTATGAGAAAAAATATCCAGGAAATCGTTTCTATCAATTTTATCGTTTTCTTTTCATTTGCATGATTATGAACTAGCTAAAGTTTTTGTTGTAAATACATTTTGTCGAACTAAAAGAAAAAGAAAAATAACTAACTTATAGCGCTAGTCATTAATGCTAATTTTCAAGCTATTCAATGAAGCATATGCGAATAGATAACAGTAATTAGATAAATGACACGATCCAACCTAGCCGAGAAAAAATAAACTTCATTTCTATATGCTTTTTTTTCTAATAAAATATATTTCCTAGCATGAAATAGTGAAAAAAGAGAGGTTGTACCACTTCAATTTAATATGTAAAAATAAACTTGAGCTTTATATCATCGACATTTAATGCGACAAGGTTTGTTTTCAAGTTTTTTCCGCTAAATTGACCGCTAGAAAGAACTATTTACGATTCGTCAATATAATTTCTATTTAGGCTACATAGAATGATAACGCAAATACTCCTCTATAAAAAAAAAGATCTCTTCCAGTTCTCTACAATGGTTTTTAGCTGCCATAAAACAATATTAAGACAACTATTAAGGTCGGTTTTTCAATATTTTCTATAAGACAACCATTATTAGATCTCTTGTGAGGAAATCTTTTTTTTTTTAGGTGTCAAATTGCTTTTCGACTGAAACAATATTCATTTGATGAGTAATAGAAAAGTCTACAGTTCTTTGATTTTTCGAGCCTTCATCATTGATATATATACTGTTTTTTTTTTCATTGAGATGAGTTATTTAGACAAGCTGTAGCTTTTCTAGTATCTTCTATTCTAAGATATTCAATATTGGGAATTCTCTCATGTGTAAAAACAATTTTTATTCATTAATTTACATTTCCAGAAAAGAGCTCCTAATGGTACAATCGAATAATTTTATTAAGAACTTTGTTAATGTAAAATTGAAAGTCAAAATTTGATTACGGAGACATATAGCTTTTTCTTGAAATAGCTCAGTAGAATTTCGAGATCATATGAAAATCATTGCGATCGCAAAACGATTTGACATCCGGAGAAGTTTTTTTTAATGTAGTATAAACAAAAATTGTACTTATGTGTTATCGATACTGAAAAACTAGGTTTTAAATTTTCTGTAGACTTTATCTAAGAGAAACTATCACATATTTTCTTTTTTTTTTTGGGTTCAAATAGTTTGTTGTAAGAACTATTATAAGGCTGAAAAAGGTCATTAAGACAGGAATCATGAGGGCATTGAGTATCATGCCAATACACGAGGCACGTGATAAAAAGAACATTTATTCTGTTTTGCGTGTATTCAAAGCATCAATGTCTGAAACCAAGAACTCCAAAACTCTATCGTCCAATAGCCTTGCTTTCAACAGTTACTTAATACTGACATTTTACCACTATCATATCTTTATAGAAAAAAAAAACAACAAAAAATTATCCTGTAAAATTTGTACAAAATGGCATGTTCATAGTGGAATGGAGTTCACATCTTTCTTTTATATTATGATTTTTCAATAAAAAAAAAAAAAAAACATTTTTCAGCGGTTTTCATAGTCATGATATGAATGTAAAACAAAGTAAATTTGACACTCAGAATTAGCGACAAAAATACATTTTAATAAAATACAACCGTGTAAAATCACAATTAATTTCTTCACAAGAAAAGAATTTCTCTAAAATATATTTAATTCATTGCTTTTTCTTTTTTGACGCTGATATCGAATGTCACATTTTATTTGCTTTATAAACATGTCATAGCAATGAAAACAGATAAAAATGTTTTTTCTTTCTATTGAAAATGCATCATATTTTACTCCGGACGTACAATTTTCTAGAGAATAAAAAATGTCATAGGATATATGCATAATTTAGTTTGAAGCTCTCTCATTCTCAATCTCGACAGAAGATCAATTGTTATCAAGTGAACATCTTAGACTAAATCAAAAAATGATTGGTCCTTGATGTTGGCCTTATAAAACTTCTTGACTTAGTTTTCATTGATTCGTTCCAATGAAAACGAGCACAACTTTTTACATGACATTTACTATTGTTTCTTTTTCATATGAAGATAATAGTAGTAAACAGTCGACATTGAGTGATTTTTTTGAAAGAAAGACGGTATTGAACAGTAAAATTCTGGAGTAAGTATTTGTAGACATTGGTGCATTGAATGCATTAAAAAAAACAAAGAAAATTGTTTTTTTAATCGAGCGTCTCGAGAACATAAACGATGCGTACTGATAAATGTTGCCTATTATATAGATAAGTTTTACACAGATTTGATTGTATGTGCTCATTAAGGTTGAAGAAATTTTTCATGAATTGTGTTAAATTATTACTTTCAAAGTTTTTTATGCATCAAAACAAAATTAGATTCTATAGAAAAATTTGAAGTCGGGAAATGACCTGAAAATTTTATTAGAATTATATGTTCTTCAAAACTATTCTCTATTGTAATATAAGTCTTAGTAACATTTTGAACACGCACATCAAGATGTTGACGTCATTCGTGAACCATATTTCCGATGTGAATAAATGTCATTCAGTCATTGTTACTTTAGATATAGAAGAACATTGACTTCGCTTATTCATTATTATAATTCTGTTTTACAAAAGAATATATATTAAAAAGTGAAGAAGTCCTGTAATCATGAACATTCATTATAAGACAACCTACAAATAAATTCCAACGAGAATTGTATATCTTATTTTATATAAATTATACACCAGAGATTTAAATATATCATTGAGAGTGTTTATGTGAGATAAGCATCAGTCTTGATTTTTCGAGGCTCACATAAGTCAACCAGTCCGTATACAATATATTCAAGGAATATCAAAAGTATTGGGATCGACACTATAAAATCATTTAAAAGACTCGAGTAAATTTTCTTTCTACATGTAACTGATAGGCCAAACGAGCTTTATGTATCTACGATATTATATCATTCTTCAAAATATATTATAATAGCAAAGTTTCGAGGTGTTAAGGTTTGTTATGAATTTTTTTTTTGAAACTTTTTGTCTTTAGAATACACGACAACTCACTACACACATGCAAAAAAAAACAAACATGAAACATGTTTTTACATGTAAAAAGACGGATGGGTATCAGACGTGACAAATAAGAGAAGAAAGAGAAGCGCCAAGAGAAATCAAAAGAAGATCACAAAAAAAGATATATGTCTAACGAGAAAACCATTTCAAGTGATGAATCGTTTCAGAGCCCAGACTCTATGCATCAGGTAGACCCTAATGAGAAATAGAGAGTGTTCTTGTACCTTCGCTTATAAGTAATCTATATTTAGATCTATTTGTAAGTACAATGTCTTGAAGAACTTCAACCTAAAAGAATGTTTTTCGTTTTTTAAACTTAACAGCAAATTTTAACACATTGAAATTTTGCTATCATAATATCAGCTGAAGAGTATTGAAATATTGTAGAATTATACGACTCGATTGGAACTATCAGCATATGTAGAAAGAAAATTTACTAGAGCCTTCTGTAAGATTTTATTGTGTTGATGCCACTACTTATGGTATGATTTAACTGTATCACTTTCTTATCTTTTTTTAACGACAGTATACAGGTAGAACAGGGCTATTAAAATAAGGCTTGTTTGAATCTCTGTTATGCATGAATAAATTTCCAATTCAGATCTGAGCAGATCAATCTTTGTAAATGAGAAAAGTTAATTAAGCATCTTATCAAGGTTTCCATTTGTTTGCATCGAACTTTCATTTTAAACAGATTTTATTGTTTATCTTATTAATGGTGCCTAATGACATTTTACTACATTTTAATTCTTGCTTTCTTGATATTTTCACATTTGTTTAAATGGAATGTTGATGTGAGCATACGGAAACCGCAATAGACCGTTTAAATGCACTTTTTATTAAAAAAAGAATCATCTGCTTGAATAGCGGAAATCCATTAGCAAACAACACAAAATCTTCATTGAGGACAATTTAAAGCTTCGCTAACTTTGTATTGCTGGTCGAGCATCATACGTATTCGTCTTTCTACGCATATTTCTATATGTAACTCTCCTTTAAATGAGGTAGAATATACGAATAATATGCAAAATGGTCCCCACCACAATCAAAATCGGAACTTCTATCTTTTTTGTAGGTAGTCCCATGAAAATATTTTTTTTAGTAAAATTTTGATTTTATAATTTTCATATTTATTCTAAATTCAGATAAGGAATTTCATGTGTTCAATGAATAATTTATAGCATATGAAATTAAACAAAGAATCATTTTTAAAATCTAAAAAATCATCTTGTTTATGCGTGATGCACAGACTATAAACATATGTTATCAGTTTGTGACAGAGCTTTATTGCAAGTACACTTGATAAAATACTGTGCAAATTAGTAATTTCAAGTTTTTTTTTTACGTGTTCGCAGTTATTGACTGAAATTTATCTGCATAGACAACTAGAGAAAAAAGTACACCTGTTGTTTTTTTAGTAGAATAACGGTAGAACACATTGTTATTTATAATGACATATGAACATGAATGCAGAAAGATGAAATGCTTGTCGTTTCTAATCAAAATCGGCTGAGTTTTACTCTATGTTTAGAAAATGCTTCAAAGAAAAATATGACAACCATCAGAATACTTCGTGTCGCATACTGTTAGATGAACAAATGGCAGAAATAGAATCATAGTTTTATATTTTTAAACACATGAATAAGTTGATATTGTTTTCTTTATTTTTTGATAATTACATATTATTTGACGGAACAAAAAAAAAGACTCGTTTTAAACATTTGATTATTGATAAATTAAATTTGACGTATTCTATAACGGAAATTCGTGATATATATATATATATATATATAAGTATACGTTTCTTTTTTTAACATCATCGTCATTTTAAATATAGATGAAAATTTCTACATAAAATATGTGGCCTGATATAATACGTTTGGGTCTTGTACGTATATTTTATCCGTGTTTAATGATATTTGGTACAATTGGTAATATATTATGTTTAAAAATTCTTTTACGAAAACGTTTTCGTCGTCAATCAACATGTCAATATTTATGTATTATTGCTGTTATTGATATTCTATTTATTTATATGAGATCAGCAAGATATTTATATCGACAAATATTTCGTCTTGATTTACGTAATACATCATTATGGATATGTCGATCATTTATATTTTTTTCATCGACACTTTCACATTTAGCTTCATGGATACTTGTTGTTGTTAGTTTTGATAGATATTTTATTATGAAAAATTTTTTTTCATATCGTCGTGCTGGTTGGCGTGTGATTAAATCAACATGCATTCTTATTATTATTGTATGTATTGTTAATACACATTATTTTTACATTTTAGGTATGAAAAGAAAAAACAAAAAGAAACTTTTTATTTATTTGAAGAATATTTGTTTTTTGTTTATTTATAGGTAGTAATATAACTTTACGTATTCCAATTTCTCACAAACATATAAATAATTCTAATGAAACTTATCATGTAACAAAACGTTTTGTATGCATAGCAAGTGCAGAATTTCAGAAATTTTTTGGTTTATATTTACCAATATTTGATTTACTTTCTGTAGCTATTATTCCATTTTTTCTAATGATATTTACAAATATAGGTATAATACGTACAACAAAACATACAAGTATGTTATTAAAATCACGAAAACAAAGACGAAATAATCGTCTTACAATCATGTTATTATCAGTTATATTAGCATTTATGCTTTTAACATGCCCATCAGTTATATACATATGTATAAATCGTATAAATGGTTTAAAACCATCAAAAACATTTTCTAATACAAAATTAGTTATAATTGATTTACTTGAAGCATTATGGTATACAAAACATGCATTAAATTTTATATTATATACATTAAGTGGACAAGATTTTCGAAGAGAATTTCGAAAATTAATATCATGTTCAAAACGAACAACATCAAATACATTACGATATCAACGACGACAACAAAAAAAAGAAAATAATTGTATGTCAATGAACACTTATAATTCATCTCGACAATCACCTTCAATTAATGTTCATTTACATAAATTGAAGAAAAAACGACAATACTATAATGGAAATACTCAATCAACAAATATATATTCAAAGACAATAAAAAATAAAATAATCGATGATAGAGAGAGTACTAGTGATGGTGAATGTGGTTTATTTTCTGCTAGTTCAAATGTCGTATCACCGGTAGTACCGTGATGAACACGGAAAAACCTTATTATAATAATTTTGAATATAAAAATAAAAGTTCTTTTGTATATATTGAATACAGATATGTTTTTTGATTTAGTTCTTTATTTCTTTGATATTTTATTTTTAGATTTGATAATAAGGAAATTCTATTATCTTTTTATTTAAAAAATATCATATAAGTCAATTAGACTTGTAAACAAAAAAGATGTCTACATGAGTATGTTCAAACTTACATTGATGTCAAAGTTATTTAAAAATAACTAATGTTCCTAAATAGATAGGTCTCTCAATATTTTATTAATATTCTTGTCGATATCCATTACTTCTATTTGAATTTTTAACTAAAGAGTTCTTCATAAAATTTTCTACAAATGTGTACAAAACCTTTCAATATAAAAATGAACAGTCGAACCTTGTGACCTGAAAATTGTCTAACATGCACATAGTGTATTTTGTATCATTATTTTGCCGCTTTTCATCCTCTTACCTATTGAATGTGCTCTGAATATTGAATCAAATGGTTTAGTATCCAATGAGAATATGAATTTCGATATACACGCTATGCAGTTTTTAGCACAGAGTGTTTGACTGCTCAATTTTAGAGAAGATCGTTGACTTTGAGACAACCATTGAAAGAACTAACTGTCTCTAACACATAATAACTATTTTCTTCTAGAAAATCACAAATTTAATTATGCAATGAGGAGGAAGTAACGGAAATTTCAGTCCTGAAGTCCATTATTTCCGTCTCCTCTTGGTTATGTGAAGATCAATCAATTTTAGATATATTATCAAAGCTTTTATTTTACAGTAATGTTGCAAAAGCTAAAGAAGATGAATATAACTCTATAAAATTTTGATTTGTTTCTTCTACATAATCATCAACATTTTCTTTTTGTATTTTCGCCAAAAATTCTAAATCTTTGTCATTTAATTTGTTTCAATAATTTTCTTCATTTGAAATTATTCTGTTTGACTTTATAAAATGATTTAAATTACTTTTAAATATGATCAACATTCATATCAAATCTTTTCCTTCATTTTATCAATTAATATAACGTTCTTTCATGATTTAAAAAAAAATGCCTACTGTTCCAGTGACAGTAGATCTTAAAGTTGTGTCAAATGGGAAGTAAATACAGTTGTTATTGAGTGATCTAAAAAATTGTAACATAAGACAAAATAATGTACTGAATATGTGTGGTAAATAAAAAAAAAAGGTGTTTATTAGGACAACAATGTTATAAAACAAAGACAGAACAAAATGACATTCGCATTTGTTGTTGGCATATTCAAGTGGAATAAGTGTTCTATGATTTATAATGTCATGTTTACACAAACTATTTGTCAAAGACAAAAATGAAAGGTGAATCATCTGTAATGATCATTAACAAGCTTGTCTGTGGCGATGAGTGCTTTTGAGTTTAACCAAAGATGGATGTCAATTGTATAATTGAAAAGAATTGAATATCATTGTACGCTTCTTCCTCGTTTCACTTGTAGGATCTTTTAGAGTTGATGAATTCTATTTTTTGGATTCAAACTTCTTGATAAAAAAAAAATAGTTTATAGAAAGTTTATTTAGTGAAAGTGTTGCGTATGCAACTGAGGATTTTTTTTGCTAGGAATATCAGACCGTACTCAAGGACTTAAAAGATGAAAAAATATTCATAACTTTCATGAAATGGATAAATATCGATTCATTTAAATTTCATTAATTAAAATGAACATTTTCATCCAGGTCATCACATGTCATAAATTAAATCAAATTCTTGGAAAGACATCAATGACACTATTTATTTTATGAATGGAATTGCAATACATCAGTTTTGTTATCTGAATAAGTACTTTAGTATTACCCTAGTAGAAATGTAAGAAGTTGAAACAAACGAATAAGAGAATAAACTCGAGTACGTACCCAGAATAATCTTCTGAGTATCAAATTTTGTTGATAACTCTACTGTGATAGCAATGATAATACTATTGACTACTTAGATTCACGTTCTAAGAAACTCAAAAAGATTAGATTTCTATTTTTTTCTCTGAATTTATCCACATTACTTGTTTCATCATATTTACATCATTTTTCAGTTTTTTTCTTTGCCAAATGTTCTAGCAATTTTAAGTAGGATATATCGCAGTCAGTGCAGCAAAATTGGAAAAATAGTTGACATATTCAAGTGTTCTGTATTAGAATGTACTCTTATAAAAGATCGATTTAATAATCAAATCAAATCTTTTGATCCTTTAATAATGATTTATTCGTAATTGATAATGAGAGTATTATAACATCAAAAAATTGTTCAATGATAAAATTAATTATAAACAAATGTCCATTAACAGATGAAGGGCATTATCAAGCAAAGCAAATCAGTCTAAGCCTTTTTATGTATTGATTAATATAAGGAAAACGTCATCTTTAGAAATCTTGATGACAGAGGTACAATAGACCTATTATAGATTTCGAAAATAACCAACCAATCTTTGATGTAAAAATTAGTTTGTTGTCGTTCAGATATATACAAAATCACATCCTGCAAACATTAAAATTGTCGATTGGATCAATTTCTATTAGAGATGTGCATCGCAAGCGCCAGACGAAAGCAGCCACGTTTTCAGCATCTTGTTTGTTAGGCTCTCTAATTTAGTTTAAATCTCGAAAAGCACACTCATTTTTAGTTTCTTCAAGTGATATGAATGTATATGAGAAATAGACACTCACAGTTACATCTGTCTTTGCTTTGTGCAAGAATAGTGGCGGTTAACTCAGAAAAACTCGTCTTCTTGAGGGCACTACTTCTAACAAACGGAATGTCTTGGAGAAAATCAACCGAAATTAATATGTCTTAATGGTCATGCCAATATCATAACGACAATCATAAAGCGTCCTCGTTTTTCGTAACAAAATGGCGTAAAAAATGCAGGGTATCGGCTCTATTTTGTGATACCTGACATCATTGTCTCTGCGAGCTAATGTTTCTTTTGAAGACTGTGCTCATATTTGGTTCTTAAAAAACATTGAATATTTTTTTGTTGTTAAAATTTATTTATATGAATTCATGCGAGAATAGTAACTTATTATAAGAAAATTCACTTGAAAAACTTTCATTTATATATTTGATTAAAGAATTTCACTTCACCAGGAATCTCACAAAGAAAAAACAACACTACATGCTCAAAGTGACGAAAAGAGAATAAATTGTTAATAGAATTATTCTGTTTGAGACATTATTATTTTGATAACTTCACCTGATATATTCATTAGTGAAATCTACATATAAAATTTTAACAAATATTGATTAAAAATGATCCCAATATTAAATTGATCAATCTCTAAATTTATTTCTAAATTCCGCGAAAAGTGCGAATTAGTTTTCAGGGTGGTTCTCTGTTTTATTGCGTCGTTCCGTTTACAAACGTATTATGAAAATAACTTATATATGATTCGAAAGAGGAGACAAAGTTATATCTTTTGGTAAAAAAAAGATTTTCTTGCAGCACTCTTCTATCAAAGAGAAAATGGGGTCAACATTTTGTGCTATTACTTTTGCATCGTATGATAATTTGTCCAGAAGGAGGAGAGGAGCTCGCGTATGATTACATATAGTACGAAGTAACATAGAAATTTTTATCTAATGTAAATTCTTGACTCTAGTTACTTTTCTCTTTGTCTTTGTCATGTCGTTGTAATTTAATTCTATGATGATGATGAAGTGAAAATATGTTAACACTTCCATCAATTCCAATGCGATTCAATTCTTTGTTTTCCTAAATATTCAATAGAAAGTAGATGTTGCTGAAATTTCTTCTCTTGAAGAAATAAAGCAAAATGTTTATTTGCTGACTTAAAGCTGAGGAATTCAGGAATTTAACCATCAACGAGACACATACATAAAATTCAGTATTATACTAGGCTTTTGATAATTTCATTGTAAACATCTCGCCAATGTCTGAACTTTCTTAAAGCACATTCTCCATATTTTCTTCGGATGCAGTTAATTAAGTTTGAGTTGTCGACAGAGTTTTTGATAAATTGAAAGATAAAATAAAAAATACGAAATTTTTCATTTACTTATTTTACTTAGAAACTTTCGACACTGCTTTTATGATCATTAGTTTTAAAACAAAATGGTTTTTCAATAGAAAATATTTATATAGATTAGAATAAAACTCAAAGTTCAATGAATCATTACAACTCATATTTACGCGTATGCAAATATCAGTGTATAGTTTATCATTGCAACGACACGAAACGTCAAGCTAAGGTAAAAAAAAAAGTAAAGGTAGAATATATGAAAAAAGAAATCCATGTGATGACGAGCACATAGATGAAAGAAAAAAGTCATACTTCATTGGTTCACGTAAATATACGTTTGTCGGGAAAAACCAAGTAATTTTGCCTGTGATAAAATCAGAGTAAAATCAATTGCAAACACACAAAACAAAATTTGTATACGCTAGTATCATATAGCACGTAAGTATATTTAGTTTTTAACAGTATCATTTTGATAAACACGAAGTAATTTTAATAGAACTCCGCTTGATGATACTCAAAATATGTAATCAATTGTCTTGATTGCAGAATCTTTTATGTATAAAATAGTCTTATTGTAAACCACGTTAAACAGAGTAAATTTTTCTATGCGTACATTTCATCGATACTACCAGTAGTGGGAGGCACAATTTTTACTTTTAGATAGATGACATACAAGCGAATTCAAGAACTTGTATTAGAATTTTTTTCAATAACATTGACGTACCAAAAAAACTATTTGAATCTCGACATACTGAATTAATCGAAGAGTAAGATATGAAAGCAAAGAGTTCTTATTCACGAATAGAAAGGTGTTCTGATTTTCTACAAAAGACAACTTTTTCAGTCTTCTACATCAACATCGATCAAATATTACAGTAATGGAATAAATTCCATCGATTAGCAAATTTGTCTTGCTGAAAGAAAAAACTCTCATGAAGAAAGTATTCGGGCAGATGAAATCGAGTCAATT